CTTGCATAATCCAATTTCGAGACGAATCAAATGAACCAACAATAACTTTTTTGCCGGGGCGAAGCGGATGTCGCGAATCAACTTATAATCACATGAGATTTACGTTCATTCATGAGACCGTACAAGAGTTTGGTGCAATGCAACCAATTCATTTATTATTAGATGAATGCGCAAAAATAAGTTCTTTAGCCATTATTCCAATAATGACATTATCAATAATGTACATTTTTTTTATCAATCATACTCTAACTCTCAACTCACTCTCAAATTTTTGCCCTGCCTCTTTGCAAAGCATGAGAGTCGAAACCTACGTCTGAAACTAAATGTCCCCATCCCTAACCCTCCTGAGAAGATAGATAATCGAATTCTCCACCTCCCTCTTCTCAAGTAGGGAGGGTAGCCACTGGGGCAAACCCCGGTAGTTTAATAATAATGTACCTTAAAATTTATAAATATGAAAGAAACGTTTTTAAGGAAGTAGGTAGTTGAATTCCCTCCCTCAACTTTCATTAATTTGCGGCTGAACTTTGTGAGAAAGTCGTAATTAGTCCAGCCAACAGGATACTCGAGTCGTGTATTCACGACTTCTTCAAAATTCGGCGGAAGCTATCCTCTCTTGATTTAGGTTTAGATCTAAATCTAGGAGCTTTTCTCTACCGATCTAAATTTAGACCTTGGAGTTCCTAAGAGGTGTTCAATCTTTGGTGGTTCAACATGTTATTGTTTTTATTGTCGTTGTTTCCATATGGCAATAGTGTTGAGGGTGCCGAACCTAGGTGCTCACTGTAAGCCGTAGTTCCTGGAGGAAAAGATCTTAGTGGGTGTCCATCACTAAGGATGCTAGTGATCGGCCGCCAATTGTTTTTTCGGAACAATAACAAATCTTGTTTTTTGGGAAGAGAGTGTGCTTATAGCTACAAGTAGTACTCTCGTTGTTTTCTTTTGTTTTGTAGCTCTTTGGTATTTGCTTTGTTTGGAAGCTTTCTATGTTCCTCTACGTTTGATCTTGACAAATGGATGAAATTTTCTTTCAACCAAAAAAAAAATCTATTGTTTCACTATGAGAAAGCAATAGCAAAAGCATAAAAGAAACTAATATTAAAATTCGAAATATTCTTATTTTAAAGGCTATCGGAGATGGAAATTATATCTTACAAACACTTGAAAATATATGTAGGCGTCTGGTTTGACTATCAACATTTCTATTTTTAATTACTTTCAAATTGAGAGAAATAATAGTAGATACGGAAACTATTGACGCCGCCAATCTCCAATACTCTTAATTTGAACCCACCCATCGGTGGCCGCGTTGGTTTGCGCTCAGTTCCTTTCACGAGAGGTCCTGGGTTCAAACTCGCCCATCGGTGATTTAAGTGGGGGGTCGTGGCGGTGGGATGCTGCGCTAGCCCCCCTCGAGGACTAGTCGGGCATCACCGCTGGTTTGAGCCCTAGCTCGCCGGCCGCGCGGACACCTCGATTATCAAAAAAAAAAATACTCTTAATTTGAGGATTATAACTAGGACTTTTAAATACAGTACGTTGCTATTGTAAACTTTTCATTAAATATAAAAAGTAGATTTGTGAGGTTGCATAAGCAGTATGCTCAAATCTTATACAAAAATATTAATATTTAAACTCCATTCGATTTTTTTAAACTTTTCTAAATGGAAGTACTTTTTGTTATAAGAAAGATGCCATCGTTTGAAATAACCTCAATTATAATTTGATGGGTTTGAAAATGAAATAGAAATCCAATGTCCCTAGAAAGGAAATGACCAAACACGGCTTGATTTGCTTGAGGTTAATCTTCGATTATATGTCTAAGTGCAATAAAAAGGGCAGAAATTCAAAATTTGGCTTAAAATTGCTTTTTTCAATATGATTGATATGTAAAATTAGTATGTCGTTAAATTGATGTATTAAATAATATATATAATCATTAGTATATTCAATTAAAACATTTATAACATAAAGTGCGGGAATGTTTAACAATCATCGTGTTGCTTAATAGCGCTCATATTTTTTTTTTCCTTTTTTTTGCTTGAAATTTAGGGTCAAATCGGTATACTTACCTACTTTTATGATATCATCTTAAAGCGCATGAATTTGAGTTTCGTCTATCACTTGATATATGGATGAGAGGAGTATTATGCTTGAATAATTAACACGAAAACTTATTTCAGGGTAAGAAAAAATAATGAAAAACCATATCGGACTATTCTCTAAGGCTATGTTTGGCAAATGAAGGAAAATGGGAGGAATGAAAAAATTGACAGGATATTGAAAAAGGATTCAAATTTTGGTGAAAAGATTATGGATGGAAACAAAAAAGAAAAATGTAAAGCGAAAATCATATTAATCACCTTTAACTTTATTTCTCATATTAGATATCTTTCTCGCATTTTGAAATCTATAGTTAGCATCCTCATTTTTACGATGGATTTCAAGTTATCCCTTTCACGAACATATAATTTACCAAATCTCCATTTATTTCCCAAGCCATTCCCGTCCACACTCTCTCCCTCATTAGAGAGGCTTGCTCGGTCCAATACATCCACCACAAAAATCTCCCTTTCTCCACTGTAAGGGGCTTCAGAGGCCGTTGCCGACCTCAGATCTGAGGCCGAGCTCAAGGATCGATGTCAAAATGGCGTAGACTTAGGGCCTGTTTGGTTCAACTTTGAAAATGCTACTTGGGGGAATGCAAATACCTTTGGGTGAAAGCCCATTGGGGAAATACAAATGGTGTTTGGTAAAAATATTTTGTAAAGCTACTTTGGCCAAAATATAGTGTTTGGTGAATTTTTTTTGCAAATGCACTTTGAGAATTATCTTATTTATTAAAAAAAAAAAAACAAAACCTACCCATCGTCGGAGCCGACCGCTGGCGGCCGTCGCCCGAGGTCGGGCGACCCCCGGCGACCCTCGCCGGCCGCCGTCGCCGGCCCTTCTGGTGAAGAAGATGAACAGCGCTAAACCCAAAAAAAAAAAAAAAGAAAAAAGATATGAACAGTAGTATTCGTGGAATGCTGAAAGCTCAAGGCTGGTCCGGACCAGCCTTGGGCTTTCAGCATTTGGAATGCCAGCATTTGGCCAATGCTAGGCCAAATGCTGAACCAAACACTCTAACATTTTGGGAAGGGGCTTTCGAGGCCCAAAGCCCCTTCCCAAAGCTGAACCAAACACCCCCTTAATGGTCATGACCAAGCTTTGCTACATATCTTGCGAGCCTCTTGCAAAGTCTCACAGCAGATCGTGGCCCTCGTAAGCTCGAGGCTAGCCTCTTACGACCCTTGAGTGGTTGCTTGATGCTCTATAGTGCTGGCCTTCGTTCACTGCTGTGCCGCCGCATGTGAGGAGAGAGAAAGGAAAGGGGGAAGAGAGCAAGAGACAAGTTGTGATGTGGATTTTAGGGGGAAAAGTGTAAGAAAATTCCTAAACCTTTTGCATTAGTGTCAATTTAGTCATAAACTATTTTTTTATGTCAATCCAGTTCTAAACCTTTTGAACTAGTGCCAATTCAGTCCTTCGGGCTTATTTTGGTCGGATTTTGCTGAAGTGGACGCCGGTCGGCCTACGTGGCATCGCTGGCGCTGACGTAGATAATTTTTAATAATATTTTATCAAATTTTTAATTATTTTTTCTGATTTTTTTTTCTTTCTTCCTCCCTTCGCCGGCGACTAGCCACTGGCCACAGGCGACGGCCGACCACTGGCCATGGCCGGGCGGGCTGCCCTCACCTGAGTGAGGGTCACCGTCGCTCGGCCAAACCCGGTGTGGCCTAGGCGAGCCCCGGCAAGAGCTCCCCTCTCGCAAGCTAGATCTAGCGAGGCCAACCCTCGCCTAGGCCACGGCGGCCTCGCCGATCGTCGCCTTGGCGCAAGCGACACCTGGCGAGGTCGCCCTAGCCTGCACGAGGGCGTACCCCTGCAAGGGCTCGAGCCTTGCACTGGGTTGGGCGAGGCTCGCCCTCGCCGGATCTGGCAAGGGTCGAGCCTCGCCGGCCATGGTTGAGGCTCGACCTCGCCAGATCCAGTGAGGTCGTGCCTCGCCCAGCCCAGCGCGAGGCCATCCTTGCGGCCATCCGGCGAGGGCTCGAGCCTCGCGCTGGGCTAGGGGAGGCTCGCCATTGCCGGATGTGGCGAGGGTTGAGCCTCGCCCAGCCATGGGTGAGGCCCAACCTCGCCAGATCCGGCGAGGTCGTGCCTCGCCCAACCATTGGAGAGGCTCATCTTCGCCCAGCCGCTGGCAAGGGCGAGCCTTGCCAGTGACCAATGGGGCTCGCCAAAGGCCCCCTAGCCTTCGGCTATAGGAAGAAGAAAGGAAAATAATAATAATAATAATAAATTTGAAAAATATTAAAATATTATTAAAAGTTATCAACGCCATTGCCGACGGTGCCACATAGGCCGGCCAACGTCCACGTCAGTAAATTCCGACCGAAATTAGCCGGAAAGACCGAATTGGCACAAAAACAAAAAGTTTAGGACTAAATTGACATCGATGCAAAATGTTTATGACTTTTCTGACACTTTTCCCGGATTTTAGGTATTCGTGAAGGCAAACGAACATTATTATTATTATTATTATTATTATTATTATTATTATTATTATTATTGTTATTAGGTCGAAGAGATGAAAAAATATTTTTATTGTAATGCGTGGAATATTTGATAGAGCTTTGTTAGCATAAAAATCTTTGGGCTGCTATTAAAATAACAGCATATTGTGTGTCATGAATTTTTTAATGAGTGGACCTTACAAAAATTTCTAATTATTCGTTATTTATTTTTTTGGCTCAAAATAGGCTATTATTATAACAGTAGATAAAAAATAGTCACAAAAACATTTAAGATTAAGATTAGTTTTTATGATTACCCAGACAAATAATACTTACTAACCCCAACAGTCCCTCTCGTCGCTCCCATATATTCCCGCCCCAACCATCCATCACTCACGGCGAAGATAGAGAGAGAGAGAGAAAGCTTGAAGAGAAACCATGCTTCTCCTCCTCTTCTTCCTCCTCCTCCTCGTCTCTGCAGCTCCACCCGCTCTCTCCCTCAACCAGGAAGGCCTCTACCTCCACGGCGCCAAGCTCTCCCTCTCCGACCCCGACTCCTCCCTTGCTGCCTGGGACGATAGCGGCGACTCCCCCTGCGGCTGGCCGGGCGTCGCCTGCGACCCCGCCTCTGGCTCCGTCACCTCCGTCAACCTCCCCAGCGCCAACCTCACCGGTCCTTTCCCCCTCCTCCTCTGCCGCCTCGCCAACCTCACCTTCCTCTCCCTCTACAACAACTCCATCACCTCCCTCCCGTCCGGCATCTCCGCCTGCCGCTCCCTCGTCCACCTCGACCTCGCCCAGAACCTCCTCGTCGGCGGTCTCCCTGCCTCCCTCGCCGACCTGCCAAACCTGGCCTACCTTGATTTGTCGGGCAACAACTTCTCCGGCGACATCCCGGCGAGCTTCGGCCGGTTCCAGAGGCTCGAGGTGCTGTCCCTCGTGAACAACCTCCTCGATGGCACGATACCAGGCTTTCTCGGCAACATTAGCTCGCTGAAGATGCTGAACCTCTCGTACAACCCGTTCACGCCGGGTCGGATCCCGCCGGAGCTCGGGAACTTGACGAATCTCGAGGTGCTCTGGCTGACCGAGTGTAGCTTGACCGGGGAGATTCCGGAGTCGCTCGGGAGGCTCAAGAGACTCACCGATTTGGACCTCGCCATCAACTACTTGGAGGGACCCATACCGAGTTCGCTCGCTGAGTTGGAGAGCGTCATCCAGATTGAGCTCTACAATAACTCCCTGACGGGAAAGTTGCCACCAGGGCTGTCGAAGCTGACCGCATTGCGGTTTCTCAACGCATCGACGAACAGGCTGAGTGGCACTATTCCAGACGAGCTGACTCGGTTGCCTCTCGAGTCGCTCCAGCTCTACCGGAACCAGTTCTCTGGGGAGCTGCCGATAGGGAGTGGGAGCTTCGAGAAATTGCTCGAGTTAGACCTCTGCGATAACAATCTCTCGGGGCAAATTCCGTCCGAAATCGGAAGCCTGACTAAGCTCAATTACCTCTACTTGAACAACAATTCGCTCTCCGGCCCGATCCCAATAGGGATTGGGAGCTTGGAGAATTTGCTCGATTTAGACCTCTCAAGAAACAATCTCTCCGGCCAAATCCCTAGGACATTGTGGAACCTCAGCAACCTGCAGTTCCTCGTGCTTTTCTCCAACAACCTCACTGGGACTATTCCTCCAGAGGTCGGGAATCTCGCGTCGGTGATCTATCTCAACGTCGACATGAACCAGCTTTATGGAGAGCTCCCTGAGACCATATCTCGCCTTGCTAAGTTAAGGGGGATCTTCTTGCTCAATAACAATTTCTCGGGAAGCATACCACGTGATTTCGGCAAGTACAGCTCTTCTCTGCGCTACGTTAGCATTTCCAACAACAGCTTCACCGGAGAACTGCCGCCAGATTTATGCAACGGCTTTGCTCTTCGATTTCTCGATGTCAGTGGGAATAACTTCACCGGGCCGCTGCCCAACTGCTTGAAGAATTGTTCGGGGCTAATGAGAGTCCGCCTAGACGACAATCAGTTCACTGCAGATATCACGAACGCGTTCGGAGTTTGTCCTGATCTGGTCTATGCAAGCCTTAGCAACAATCGATTTGTCGGGAAACTCTCGGCACAATGGGGAGACTGTATGAATCTTACGAATTTGCGGATCGATGGTAACAAAATCTCCGGCCACATCCCGCCAGAGCTCGGGAAATTGTCTCAGTTGCGCGTCCTGACATTATCCAGCAATGAATTGACTGGGAGTATTCCCGATGAGATGGGAGATCTAGGGGAGCTGTTCGGGCTGAACTTGAGCAACAACCATTTGGCTGGAGATATTCCTTCCTCGTTAGGAAAGTTGACGAAGCTCAATCATCTTGATTTGTCGGAGAACACATTGAGCGGTAGCATACCTGACAAGCTAGCGAATTTCGAGAATTTACTGAGCTTGAACTTGAGCAACAACAATCTGTCCGGTAACATACCATCCCAGCTCGGGAAGTTGTCCACGCTACAGTTACTCCTAGACCTGAGCCACAATTCCCTAGCAGGATCAATTCCCTCCAATTTGGCAAAGCTTACTAAACTAGAAAATCTCAATCTTTCGCATAACAATTTGTCGGGTATGATCCCAGCTTCTCTCGAGAGCATGGAGAGCATAAGCTCCCTAGACGTATCGTACAACAAGCTGACGGGTGTGGTTCCTATTGGTAGGATCTTCGAACAAGCACCCGAAAGTGCTTTTATTGGGAATCCGGGCTTGTGTGGAAACGCGACCGGATTATCTCTTTGTGGGATGAGCAGTAAATCGACCCAACACAGAAAAAAAGTTCTGGTTGGTGCGAGTGTTGGCGTTTGCTGCTTACTACTTCCAGCGATTCTAACTTCTGTGATTCTGGCGCTTCGGCGACGAAACAAGCTTTGCAATGAAGAGATCAAGCGTCTTAAAAAGCACGAGCAATTTGAGCAGATCATATGGGAAAGGGTAGGGAAGTTCACATTCAGCGACATTGCCAAAGCCACCGACGATTTCAGCGAAGAGTACTGCATCGGAAAAGGCGGGGCCGGGAGCGTTTACAAGGCCGTATTGGACAGCGGCCAAATCGTCGCTGTCAAAAAGCTGAACGCATTGGAATCGGGCGAAGTCCCTGCGGTCATCTGCCAGAGTTTCGAGAACGAAATCCGTGTGTTGACCGAGGTCCGGCACCGCAATGTGATCAAGCTCCACGGGTTCTGTTCCAAGAGGGGTTGCATTTACTTGGTCTATGAGTTCGTTGAAAGAGGCAGTCTGGCAAAGGCCTTGTATGGAGGAACGGGAGCTGCTGTACTGGACTGGGGTACAAGGGTGAAGATTGTTCAAGGCGTGGCTCACGCGGTCGCCTACTTGCATCACAATTGCTCACCGCCTATCGTCCATCGGGACATAACGTTGAACAACATCTTGGTCGAGTCATACTTCGAGCCTCGGCTCTCGGATTTCGGGACGGCGAGACTCTTGGATTCAGACTCGTCGAATTGGACTGCAGTGGCTGGATCTTATGGCTACATGGCTCCTGGTAAGCTACATGATCAAATCTAACCATACATTTCACACAGGTACATATTGTCTCGGATTGATCAAATAGCTTTAACTAACATTTTGAAATTCGATATATTGAATAATTCTAACGACTTTCGGAAGAGCAACTATAGATTTTGAAAATTGATTTGTGTCAGGATACCTTAGAAGTTTAGAATTTGTGTACCACTTTACATTACGATCAAAATATTGATTCGCTCTTCTTTCTTGGAATAACAGAGTTAGCAGTTACAATGCGGGTGACGGACAAATGCGACGTGTATAGCTTTGGAGTAGTGGCGCTAGAGATTACAATGGGGAAGCATCCGGGGGATCTTCTCTCTTCTCTATCAATGACATTCTCGGAGACCCTAAATTTGCTGCTGAAAGACGTGCTCGACCCACGTATTCCTCCTCCGACTGGCCAGCTAGCCAAGAAAGTGGTATGCATCGTCGCGGTGGCACTGGCGTGCACGCGGACGAGTCGCGATTCGCGACCCACCATGCATTTCGTCGCGAGAGAATTATCCGCATGCGCTCGAGCTTACTTGTCCACGCCATTAGGCTCGATGACTATCAGCGAAGCCATCGAGTCTTCAGAAATAAAATTTTAAGGGATAGAGCAAAATCAAAATGATATTCTTCCGTCTCTTCTTCTTTTTTAGGTTTTGTTTAACTTAGCTTGCAATGAATGAGAAAGAGTGGGGGTTGGCGTGTGCACCGGTCGATGTACAAAAAGGATAACTTAGAAAATCTCTATTGCACTGGTAGTGAAGAATTCCTCACCGGATGAAGCAGTCTCCCAGATTTCCAACTTCTCTAACGCTTTGAATCAACTTGAACTCATGTCATTAATCGTACAAATGAATTTCCTCTTTTTCTATTATATCCTTGATTTGAACTTTTTCAATTTGTGTTTTTTTTCTGTTCGATTATGTTTGTTGATGGTTGAATTGATGGATGGATGATCGCTAGCCAAATGAAGTGCATGGCGGTGCCTTGTGTCCCCTCTAAATGGCCTATCCTTATAATTTGACAAAAATTAAGTGCATCGTCCAATTTCCGTCCTACTTCTCATCGCATTACTAAACTTTTGAAATTTACAATCAAATATGTGACGGTTCGAAGCGATTTTAGATGGTGGTACATTCATCTCTATGGCCACCACAAGTTTCCATAGTTTTTTAATGTCGCTGATGGTACATTCATCTCTATGGCATCGCACATTGCTCAAAAGGAGAATTTATCGACTTACAAAGTCCTAATTTGAGAGAAAATTTACCAATCCTAGTGATTGGTGGTGGGTTGGAAGATAGGCATAAATTGCATCGTTGGTGACTTTTTGACTTATCAATTACACCCATTTTCTGGGTGCAATCCAACGGGTACGGCCTGCTTTGGCCCGACATGCAATTCTTGTCTGCTTGGAAATATTCGAGTGCTTCCAGAGGGTTTCTCTGGATGTAAGTGTAGGATTCGATTGATTGGTTAATATTACATAGTGACCTGACCCCTTTAAAAAGGTTGAGCGTGAAGAAGACTTCAGATTGACTAAGCTTTGTCTTTAGATTGTTAATTGGTTTTCTTTGAATATATATGTAGAAAGATTGATAATTGACAGCCATCTCATGTTATGATTAATCATCATTCAACTTACTTTGCAACTATAATGTGGTCAAATATTGCATCATTAATCACTCCTGTATTATTTTGGTGACAAGATGTTCGCCCCCTGTATGACTAAATACACTCCGTTTATACAAGATGGACAAAATCACCTTGATGGATTCCACAATTATGCATTTTCCCTCATTTTAGTTCTTGTCTATTGTGGGTTAGTCCCTTCAAATTTAAACCCATTGTTGTTTAGAAAATAAAAAATCAACATTTTCTTTGTCAATCCAAAATGAATGAAATTAGACTTTCATGAAAAATATTTCTTTTGCTTTGGGCATAGTTTTTATTTTTAAAAAAAATTTGTTTGTAGATATGTTTTTTTGGATTTATACATGAAAATTGATCGAGAAATTTGCTTGACGAAATGAAAATTATGAAGATCTCTCCACTAGACAAGGTAGCCAACATGTATAGAAGTCAAAAAAGGATGGCTTAATACCACGAAAAATCCCAAACTGGTATACATGTGTGACAATTTATCCCGAACTATTTTTTGACCATCAAAAACCCCACGCTGGTACATCGGTGACAATTTTACCCCGAACTAATTTTTTGACCATCAAAAACCCCAAACTGGTACACCTGTAATAATTTTACCCTCTATTAGTTTTCGTTAAATTTTACCATTAAATTACTAAGTTTGATGACACGTGGTAATTGATAGGTGTACCGGTTTGGCAAGAAATGTCAAAGTCACTTTGGGGGTCAAATTCATACTTATTAGGCAGACTTTAGTGGTGTTTTGCCGACCACTTTTATGGTGGTGCGTTGATCCGCTGTGCTTTTTCCCTCGTGACGGTTTTGATAAGTCTGATTTAAATGGAAGGATTTGTGTGCAGCAATAATCTGATTTATTTATTTTTTATTCCGACGTGCTTAATCGTACAAATGAATTTCCCCTTTTATTATTATATCCCTTGGTTTCAACTTTTTCAATTTGTTTTTCTAATCAAATCTGTTGGTCGATGGTTGAATTGATTGATGGATGATCATTAGCCAAATGAAGTGCATGGTGGTCCCTCTCTAAATGGCCTGTCCTTGTAATTTGAGAAAAGTTAAGCGCATCATTCATTTTTTCATACTACTTCCCGTCGTATTATTAAACTTTCGAACTTTACAACCAAATTAAAGCGATAGTTCGAAGCGATTTTAGATGGAATCTTCGTCAAATAACCATAGAAAAAGTGCTCTCTTTCAAATCTTCTTCGGTTCATAAAACTGACCTTGACAATGATTATCGTAATCATACAAGTTCGAGTTTGGCTCCAAATTTCATATTATCAACTATCTTTGCCGATTTCGATCGACTTGTAGCCTTTTGATTCTATCTGCATTGCTCGCAGCTTTGGTTTTCCGCCTAACTTACCTGCCTCAATTGACTTTCCTTCGATTGAATTTTCAATCAACCTTTTAATGGCGTGAAATCGACATAAACCGATTGCAATGATGCATAGTCCATCGCATGAATTTGAACAAATCTCTGTCCGTGGATGCGTAGTCAAATGGCACGAAATGGAGATTAAAGCTTCGACACTAGAGTTGGCGTAATTAGATCAACCGCAATTACATTTTACCGGTGCAACGAAATGAAGATTAACCCTTTGACACTGAGCCCGAATCCTTGGCTCCTGAGCACAGGCCCAAGGGTCCTGGGCCCAAATCCCTGGCTCCCGAGCACAAGCATCAGTCCGAGGTCCACGAAAGCCGGACCCGAGAACCCAGTGCCCAGGATCCCAGCCCCCAAAGCTTGGGCCCGAGCCTCGGCCCAATGCCCGAGACCCCAACGCTTGGGCTCGGGCCTCAGTCTGGTGCCCGAGACCCTAGTGCTTGTGCCTATGTGTCCATCAAGGTCGGGCCCGGGCCCTGGTGGCTAGGCCAGGTCCAACGACGATGAGCTCTTACCCCCACGCATGCCTCGGATCCATTGAGGCCAAGCTATGGATCCCAGTGCTCAAGGCTGGCCTCAATGTACCCGGGCCCAACCGCCCGAGCCCGGCCTTGATAAACCCAAGCTCAGCCTCAATGGACCCTGGCCTAAGTGCCAGGGACTCAGTTCGGGGCCTAAGCATTGGGGACCCAGTGTCAAGTGTCGATATATGTGGCTCGGCCTCGATAGACCCCACATGGGCGCCAGGGTCTCAGTCCCAGCCTCGGTGGACCTAGGCCCAGGCATTGGGATCCCGAGCCAAGCCCGATGGACTTGAGTCTGGATGATGGGGTCCTCGGCTCGACATTAATGGACCCACTCAAGCACCGAGGACCTCGACTCGAGCGAGAGCGCCAAGGACCTAAGCACCAGCACTATGGTCTCGAGCCCAGCCTCAATACACCCAGGCCTGGTAATGATGGACCTGGGTGAGGGTGCCAAAGATTGATCCCAAGCGTCGGGGCCCGGCCTTGATGGACCTAGGCACGGGCATTGGGGTCCAAGGCTCAACCTCAATGGGCTCGTGTCCGGCCACAATGGACCCAAGCACGAGCGTCAATGACTCGGTCCCAGGAACTGAGCTCTCGAGCCCGACTTCGATGGACTCAAGCGCAGGCTGAGGACTCGGGCATTGGCACCGTGGTCTTGGGGCCAGCCTCAATGGACCCAGGTCCGATCACAATGGACCCGGGCTCGAGCACTAGGGTCTCAAGCTCGACTTCAATGGATTCGGGCGCTAGGGACTCGGGCACAGGCATCAGGGTCTCAAGCACAAGCATCAAGGTCTTAGGCATGGCGATGGATCTAAGCCTAGGTGTCGGGGACGCAAGCATGGTATTAGGGTCTCGAGCTCTACCTTGATGGACTCGGGCTTGCCCCAGGTGAAACCCTGCAAACCTGGCCTCGACCTCTAGACCCAGGTTCACTATCAAGGGCCTAGGTCAAGTGTAGGAGTTCTTGTGGCCAAGCGTCGATATTTAGTCATATTTTGAAAATTGATTTTCGATTTTTCAATAAATAAGTCATTTTTTTGAATTTAAGCATAGGTTTTTTGTTAAATAGGAAAACTTTTTTCTATTGACTCATTTTCCCAAGCGATCCTGATGCCGAAAAATGAGAAAAATGTTTTGTGAAAAATGTTTTTCACAAAACAAACGGAGTTCTAATGTAACAAAATAGTTTGGAGGAGATGTGCGGAAGGAGCATCATGATATGGAGTTTTAAGCTCATCTCCCCACACTCTCACACGAAAGATTCGAAGCCTATTTATAGAAGGACTCCGCCGCCATAGACATCTAGACATTTGCTGGACCTTAGATAACTTGTTTCAGTTGACATTTGTTTTGACTAAGAAAGCTTCTTCAACTTGGCTTCTTCTTCTCTTGCACCGACTTAGACAGCATATTTCCAGGCGGACGTTTCTTGGTTCTAGTTACTGTCGACTTTCTTGACTCTTCTTTCTTCGTTGATTAAGCAGCCTTAGTATTAGACTTCAAGTGTTCCACTTGAACTTGGACACTTCTTGTTTTCTTCATGGTTATCTCAGTTGACCACTCTGGAGAAATCTTGAGAATTTGGAAATTGGATCACAATTTCCAACAGGAAGCTTCCATTGTTCTTGATTTGATTCACATGCACTGAATTCGAATCATTTCTCGACGAGATGCACGGATAACAAACAGATGCGAATGGCAGAATATTCTGCTTCAAGAGATATCGAGGATTTCGTCAGTCGCGGCCCAGAGAAGCATCGTCCTTCTTTTTGTTGAGCAAGTTCGGCAACCAGATGAACTTCTCGTCTGGGCTACCTCCTTCATCTTCCGGAAAGATGAGCATGAAGGGTTTGTTGCTGAGGCAATTATGGGTTTCGATGGGATTGAAGAAAGATAAGAGCTTCGAGTTTGAGGAGAGATTGGCTATGGTGGCAGATGAGAGTTGCAGAAATAACACTGCTTGGTAGAAAGACAAGAAGAACAAAAAAAGGAATAAGAAACCGAAAAGAAAAAATTGCCCCCGGACGAAAATGCCTCTGATCAGGACTTGGAAATCGTTGAATCGCGTGTGCTCACCGGCCAAGGAAGATTTGGTTGGCGGGAGAGCTCAAGGACTCATTCGAGACTAAATTGATCACTTAATGACCTTATTTAAGACAAGATTCATTCTGAGGCCTATTTCAAAAGAACATCACATTTCAAGTATTATTTTCAATTTTTCCTAAGGAAGATTGAAACATTTTGTGGTTTGTTATATTTTCATTATCGACAATAGACGTGTGCATTTACATAAATTTAACACGCGTCTAATTAAAAAAAGAGTTTAATAGGACTAATTTAGACAATGGCCAACATTCTCTTTTAAACTAAAGATTTCCTCGAAGCACGCCAGTCTGTTCGGGTTCAACCATGGGCGGCCCTCGGTGGTGTTCGCTGGCCACTTTTAAGATGGGGGAATCGTTTTTTATTACATTGTCGGTTGATTTCGTTGTGCTTTTTCCCTCGTGCATGCATCGATAGATCTTGCTTGATTCAAACGACTTAGCGTGCGGCAACAACACGATTTTAACGGGAAAATTTCAAATGAGAACATGAAGTAAGATTATTTTCTCAAAAAAGAGTCTAAAGTAAATATTATTTCGAATAAGGACCTGAAGTTGATAAGTTAGTTTCAAATGAGGGCCTAAAGTGGACAAGTTAGTTTCAAATATGGCCCTAATTGAAAATATTGGTCGGAAAAGGCCCTTAATTGAAACAAAATCTACTTTGAACCCTCATTTGAGAAAATTACTCCACTTCGAGCCCTTACTGAAACAAAGTCCACTTTGAACCTTCAGTTGAGAAAATCACTCCACTTCGAACTCTTATTGAAACAAAGTTCACTTTGAAGTCTCATTTGATAAAATCACTCCACTTCGAGCCCTTGTTGTAGGGAACTTAGTAAGCAAATTGAAATAGAGGGTGGTTTTTTTAAAATGGCTTCCCTTGGAATTTTGATAATCTTCGATAGACCAGGGTTTAAACCTGCCCGGTAGCTAGTAATTTATAACTTTTCTTAATTTTGCAAAAGCAAAAATATTTTCGCTTTTTTTTTTCAAAGTTTTTAAAGGAAAGGACCCAAATTGATACATTTATGACAAATATACCCTACATTAAATTGGCTTAATACTACGAAAAATCACAAATTGGTACACCTATGACAAATAGAGGGTAAAATCTCAAACTGATACACCCGTCAACTGACACGTGTCATTTAACTAAAAAATTTAACGGTAAAATTTAACAGAAACTAGAAATTGTCACAGATATACCAGTTTAGGGTTTTTTGTGGTCAAAAAATTAGTTTGGGATAAATTTATCACAAGTGTACCAGTTTGGGGTTTTTCGTAGTATTAACCCTATGATTATATTAGGGGTGAGCGGTTCCAGGTTCCGGTTCGGTTCCGCTTGGAACCTGGAACCTACCCTCGGGTACAGGTTCCTCATTTTTTGGAACCTGGAACCTACCCGTCAGAACGTGGAACCTAGAACCTACCCTGTCACAGGTTCCAGGGTCGGTTCCAGGTTCCAAAAGGTTCTTTTTTTTAATTTCTTTTTTAATTAAACAAAACGAAAATAAACGCAACAATGACTAGGTATTAAAAAACAATATTTCGCTTAGTAGAAAGGGGATATTATCTAACAACCTAGATCCATTTATGCAGAATAGAAAACATCAAGAGTTCAGCATCATATAACTTTATTATCAATGGATCAGTGCAAATATAATTAGTAGAATGATATTGTCAATAAAAGGCCAATTAGCAACACCAATAGCAAACCTCATTAATCTAGGAAAGAAACTTAAAACAATATAATAGTGGAGGAGGCAAAAACTAGCTAATTTGGAATCAATATTGCAAAGAGATATCTTCTATACAAAAAGCAATAGAGGACATATCGCAATGTTGTAAAAGCATTTATACAGCTAAGCCCCCTTTGTGCAAGGCTTACTTTGCTGATGTTCAACTTAAAAATCATTGGAAGGGATAAAACGAAAATAAATCAAAGGAAAACAATCCAAAGGTCCACCACTTAAGACATACATGTTTACTGTCAGAAATCTTCTTACTTTCGAACTGCATAGACTGGGCCAGTGGCAGCCCCAGCACCAGTATGCAGTCAACATTGTAGGAAATGCAAAATAGACGAAGAGGAAACAAAACCTACCTCTTGCAGCATAAATCATTGCCAATTCCTGAAACCGAATATCATAACAGATGCCTATACCAATACGTCCAACGTCTGCATAGAGCCAAAAAGAAAAGAAAAGAAAAGAAAACAACTCAAACAACAAATAGACTAGAAGACTCAGGCAACTAAATGTTCCATACATAGTTACTTAAGGAAAGAAAAGTTACCTTGTGGTGCTTGGCTTTCAGCACTCCAATGGAACCAAAAACACAGCAAGCGTTGTACAATCGATCACCACATCTTTCTGGGATTGAACTGCCCACTATGGTAACCTTCAAGGCCTTAGCAGCTTCAAATAACATAGCAGTTGAAGGAGATGAACCTCCATCAATGTCCTCAGCATAAATAGGGAAGCTATCATTTGAATAGGGACTGTTCCATATTTCCTGGCACAGAGTCAACAAAACCATGAGGCAAGCTACGTGATTTTTCCCTCCTTTTATAGAACGGCGCAAGCTGCAAATATGGCTGATTTTACTGGAAGCCAAAGCTTGCAGTATAAAAACATAGCAATTAAATAAGCATCAATAAGAACTTAGCCACAGAAAGTCACCCAAAACTGATGAAACGAACACGTGCCTACTCAAGATGCTTTTATCCATTCTTTCTTCTAGTGCACGCCTTCACAAAAGGGCATTTGATAAGGTATACAAAGTTCTTGTAAGCCATAAATTTCCCATTTTGCAATCAGGAGGCACATCCAAACTTTCCGCAGCTACACGAAATCATGCAAAAAAAAATGTCATTTCCATAGAGTTAGATGATTGGATTATCATGAGATAACAATGAATTATTCTAAATCAGAAGATGATCAACCAGGAAGATACATGCCTTTCCAGCTTTTCAAAGAGCAGCACATTGTGCCTCTGCTTCTGAAGGGGCCTGACATACATAAACTGAATCTGGTATCTAACATTTTTGTTACGAATAAAGAAGAATGAACTTCTCAGACAGAATAGTAACCTCAACTACTGGGATACCCATAAGTCTCAATAGTTTTTTGCAGTCTTCATTGTGCTGTTGTGTCACCTGCAATGGTATCAAAGCCATGTACCACATGCGCACACATATCTGGTTAGCTACATAGATAGGTTTTTCTGGAAAACAGAGACAACATCAAACTTCTCATCGAATAGAACTAAAATATCGCACAGTAAGGAAGTGATCAAAACAAAGACAAACCTTCACATTTAAGGTAACTAAACGTATTCATAGACAATTAAAAAAAAAACGAGAGAAGAGAAGGCTACATAATAATAAAGTACCATTGTGCGAGCTCTTGCTTCTTCAAATCAAGAGGTTTACCATCAAATACGTAGCTATCATAACAACATAAAGTATAATTCAGAGAAGCACAAACTTCATTCTTCTTAGCATTCTATCCCAATGAAAACATAGGAGGTAAAGAAAAAAGCTTACACTGGCTGTATCCCTGCTTCCAACAGCCTAATCGTTCGGTAATGCATGCCTTGCAGATGACTTCATGAGACGACAAATCAAAAAGCAGCTCAAAGTCAACACTTCCCAAGAACAAATATCACATGGCAAGTACAAAATAATGTGACACACGTCGATCTCATATACATAAACCCCAGTCCAAGCAATAACAACTGAAGCATCAAAACAGAAACTCGAGCAAAGTGGATTATCATTTCCATGGAGTATTCCGATGCCATTAGTGGTACCTGGTGACTTGACCAGCCTCATTGGTGAGCATCTGAGTCCTCTTCCTCCCAACCACAACCTGATCCCCCAATCAAAGACCAAAAAAAACCCCCAACACTCAAAATCCAAATCCCCGCCAACACCGAAACACACAATCAATCAGGAACATCAACTCATAAAAAGCAAAGCACTTAACGAGGAACTGATAGATGCTCAGGCTGGCATCGACGGCGATCCTCCGGCCGAAGTAGCTCTCCAGCTTTTGCTCCCTCATCGCCTTAGGGGCATTGTCCGCCAGTAGCTTCGTCAGCCCCTATCGAAATCAACGGACGACTCAATCAACAATGAAGAAGAGGGAGGTGGAACTACCTTGATGCCCATTTTCGGAAAGAAAAAAAAATTTCCCGAATCGCGTCGCGAGCATGGGCAATGTTCCTCTCTTTATCCGCCGTCACCGAAAGTTGGCATAGCCCGATCTGAAACTGAAACCACACCACCCAAAGAAAAGACGTCAAATTTCGAGGTCGCATCGATGATCGAAGTCGAGGGTTCGAGCCCATGCCTTGGCGAGGGGAGGAGGGCGAGAGGAGCGCGGGCGTCAGCGCGCTTACTCTTTCCTTGCTCGCTCCCTTCTTGCGCCTCCAGCCACAAGCTGCTCGATTGGTCACCAAAAGAACCTAGACTCGGAAATCCGCCGTGGATGAGCCGGACCGTGGTTGATGAAGACAGGAGGAAGAGCCGAGGCGGACGCCGAACGGAGCGAGGAGAGGCGAGAGGGTCTCGTCGAGTCGTGGGTGTGGGGAGTGGGAGAGAGGGCGCAACGGAGGAGCAACCGAGAGAGAAATTTGTGAAGAAAAGTTAGGGTTTTTATTTTTTACTGGGAAGAGCGTCGGTTCCGGTTCCGGTTCCGGTTCCCGGTTCCGGAACCGAGAACCGGGAACCGGAACCGGAACCGGCGGTTCCTAAAAAATTGGAACCGAGAACCGGAACCGCTCACCCTAGAACCGGGAACCGAACCTTACCCATCGGTTCGGTTTTTCGGTTCCCGGTTCTACCCTGGAACCGTGCTCACCCCTAGATTCTATTGCATTACAAGTCTAGCTTTACATGCGTTACGAGGATCTACCTATATTTAATATGAAACAATTCTTAATTAAGGTAAATTGCAATAAAAAACTCGATGCGCAGTTTCCATGTCATATTTGAGATGTGAATAACTTATCACTTATTGTACTTCGTTTACTGAAGTGTATTTCCTTTAGACTATGTTGAACATTAACATTTTTGTCTTCATTGATTTAGACCTATCAATCCTGACTTGCCATGTGGCTGCTAATGCTCTTTCCCGTAGGATGGTTGGCGTCCACGTCAGCGAATTCGGGCCAAAAGTGATCGGATTAACTCAATTGACAAAATGTGAAAATGTTTAAAACTCAATTGACAAAATTAAAAGGTTTAAGATTGAATTGACTTAAATGCAAGAGATTTATGACCTTTTTGAGTAATTTTTCCTTATTATCGGGCATGAAATTTTGGACCACAACCTATTCGGACTTTTGTCTCATACAAATCCTGTCTCGTAAAACTGATTGTTTGCATTATTTAGAAAATTTAGTCCGCGAAAAATACTTTTATTATCAACAATAATCTGTGCTTAAATTTTTATGCCCACGATGAACATAGTTTGTGCTCGTACCTTTTTATGAATAGCACAAACGATCGCTTTAGAAAAAATATTTCATAAATCATTCATTCTTCGATAAACAAATGCTAAATCAAATATCGTTGGTCTTTGTTACTCACGACCACGCGTAGAGATGCTTGTTTTGGCCATGATAGAGACTAAGGCTGCGCATGAATACCATTTTGTGCCTGGGAACTATTTCTGAACAGAAATGATTTTTTTTTATTCTGTGCCCGGAAATAATTTCTGAATATTTGAAGGCGTCTGATAAACTGTCCAAAATTTCTATTCCTAGAGTAGAAAAGAACAGAAATGCGTTTGGTAACTACACAAATTTCTGTTCCCAAATAATATTTTAATAATATTTTGAATTGTTTAATTTTTTTTTCTTTCTACCATTTTCTTCTTTGGCCATGGCCGGTCGCCGGCGACCGGCCACAGTCCAGGGCCGGCGAGGGCATCACGGCCCTCTCCGGCAGCCGGCGGAGGCGAGGGTCGCCCTCTCCGGCAGCCGGCGGAGCGAGGTCGCCCTCGCCGGCGAGGGCGAGGCGGACCCTCGCCGTCGCGACCGACGGCGAGGCTCGGCCTCGCCCGATCCGGGCGAGGGCACCTCGCCCTCGCCGACGAGGGCGACCCTCGCCTCCGCCGGCGGCCGGCGGCCGGCCCAGCCCAGGAAAGAACAACACAAAAATAAGAAAAGAAAAAAAAGAAAAAGAAGAAAAAAAAAAGAGTCTCAAAATTGTGCCGAGAAACAAGAAGTAACTTTTTTTTACTTCTTGTTTCTCTTCCAAAACTGTTTCTCGGCACAAATTTTTGCAAAAATGTGCCGGGGAACAAAAAGTTTACCAAACGCATTTCTGTTCCCAAACTATTTCTGGGAACAAAAGAACAGAAATTTTTACTGTTCGGCACGTTACCAAACGGGCCCTAATTTTAACCAATCGCCAACGTTCTCTTTTTAACTTACAATTTCCTCGAAGCACGCAAGAAGTTTCAACAACGATGGTGGTGCTTTGCCGACCACTTTTAAGGTGGGCATTGCAATAATATTATTTTATTCAATCGTGATTAATTGTACCAATTAATTTCCTCCTTTTCTACTGTATTTTATTCCCACGTGATAAATTGTACAAATTAATTTCGTCCTTTTCTATCAAATCTGTTTGTTGATGGTTGAATCGATTAATGGATGATTATCGGCCAAATGAGGTATTACCAAACTTTCTTTTGGTCTACTCCTTGTGGTATAACTAAACTTTCGAAATTTTCCATCACGTCGGTTGTAGTTTCGAAGCGGTTTCAGTTGCATCCCTCGTCGAGTAACCATTGGAAAAAAGTGCTCTACCTCAAATCTTCTTGGGATTTGAAAAGCAACATCGATAATTTTTACTAATTTTCAACTATTACCAACCATCACTGCCCGATTCCGATCGACTTGGAGCCTTAATCAAACTCAGTTCCATTTGCATTGCTGCTGTACAAGTATAACACTCAAAAAAATAATCTCCTGCAGCTATTACAATATATCTTCTCTTTCACTCTTAAGCCTTATCTATAAGCTCGAGTTTCACCGCCTTTTGAAGTCGGTGGTGTCCATTTACTTGTCACTTGAAGATCAACTTCGAATTGTCCTCCTTTGCTGCCGACTTCGTGCGAAGGAAGTTGCCGTAGCTTTTTCAAACCTTCAGTTTGGACATTTCTTTCACCAAGTCTTCAGGGTTGGAGTCGGTTCAGGAACCAAAGTGCAATTACGACATTTCTCTTGTTTTCTCGTATCAGGCGTCGACCCCAACACGTTGACGGTTAACCTACTTTTTTGTTTAAAAATGTTAAATACATATAACCGATGCAGTAATTTTTCCAAAAACGAATTACACGTGGGTGTTTACGCGGGCGAAATGACACGCCACGTAGAATGTTCATACAACGTTGTCGGAAGATGATTGAAAGTCCAACTTTGTGCGTGAGTGCGAGACTGCCAGTTTGCCACTTTCTCGTGGCCTTCTGTCTAAAAGTGCATACAACCCGTGGTGCTATAAAACAGTATCATCCAGCTCGTTTCTCATGAGGTCCAATGCCATCTTGCTAGGCATGACAGAATCAACTGCAGCCCACCCTGTCTTCCTCTGTCTTCTCTTCTTGCTGCCATTTCAGGCCTCGGCGTCCCCGATCAAAGAGGCACAAGCTCTAGTCAAATGGAAGAACTCTCTCTCTCCTCCTCCTCCTCCTCCTCCTCCTTCACCTTCTCTGAGCTCATGGTCACTCGCCAACATCACCCATCTCTGCAACTGGACTGGAGTTGCCTGCAACAATGGTGGGTCAGTCTCGGGGATCAGCCTCTCCAGCTCAAGCCTCAGTGGCACACTTGATGCGCTCGACTTCACTTCGTTCCCGAACCTGACCAGCTTCGACGCCAACAACAACAATCTCGGGGGCTCGATACCGTTGTCGATTGGCAATCTCTCCAAGCTCACGTTCTTGGACCTGGGTAGCAATCTCTTGGAAGGTGGCATACCACCCGAGATAGGCCAATTGCAAGAGATTCAGTACTTGAGCCTCTTGAACAACAGTCTCAATGGTACTATTCCTTACCAGATCAGCAATCTCGGGAAGGTGTGGCACTTGGATCTTGGATCAAACTACTTGGAATTTCCTGACTGGTCAAAATTCTCTGCCATGCCGTCGGTGACATACCTGAGCCTCTTCCTCAATTCGCTCGACGGCGAATTCCCGAGCTTCATGGACGATTTTCACAACCTGACATACCTCGACCTGTCGCAAAACACGTTGACTGGCCAAATTCCTGAGGCTGTGTATGCCAACCTGGTGAAGCTTCAGTACCTCAACCTCACTGACAATTCGCTCCAGGGGCCGATCTCAAACATATCAAAACTTTCCCAGCTGAAGGAGATCCGGATTGGTAACAATCCGCTCGGCGGTCCGATTCCTGGAGACTTAGGGTTGGTATCTGAGCTTCAGATGATAGAGATGTACAACAATTCCTTTGAAGGGGCAATTCCTAGCTCCATTGGTCAATTGAGAAAGCTTCAAAAGCTTGATTTGCACCTAAACCGCTTGAGCTCTTCTATACCTTCCGAGCTCGGGCTTTGTTCTAACCTCACGGTGTTGGCCCTCGCCCAGAATTCGATCTCCGGGGAGCTGCCTCTCTCTCTGTCCAATCTGGTTAGATTGTCGGAATTTGGAGCTTCGGAGAATCACCTGTCAGGTGAGTTATCGCCTTACTTATTCACAAATTGGACAGAACTCGTTTCTTTGCAGCTCCAGAACAATTTTCTCTCTGGGCAAGTTCCTCCGGAAATAGGAAGCCTGACCAAGCTCAATAACCTCTTTTTGTACAACAATTCACTCTCTGGCCCGATCCCTACAGGGATCGGGAGCTTGGAGAATTTGGTCAAGTTAGACCTCGCAACGAACTCTCTCTCCGGCCAAATCCCTTCAGCATTGGGGAACCTGAGAAACCTGAAGATCCTCCAGCTTTTCTATAACAAACTCACTGGGACTATTCCTCCAGAGGTCGGGAATCTCACGTCATTGACCATTCTCGACCTCAACACGAACAAGCTTTATGGAGAGGTCCCCGAGACCATCTCTCGCCTTGCTAACTTAGAGTCGATCTCTTTGTTCACAAACAATTTCTCAGGAAGCGTACCAGGTGACTTCGGCAAGTACATCCCTTCTCTGCATTATGTTAGGTTTGCGAACAACAGCTTCACCGGAGAACTGCCACCCAAATTGTGCAGCGGCTTTGCTCTAAAAGAACTCACCGTCAATGGGAACAAGTTCACCGGGCCGCTGCCCCACTGCTTGAGAAATTGTTCGGGGCTAACAAGAGTCCGTCTAGATGGCAATCAGTTCACCGCAGACGTCACCAGCACATTCGGAGTTTATCTGAATCTGGTTTATATAAGCCTCAGCAACAACAGATTTGTCGGGACTCTCTCGGCACAGTGGGGAGAGTGTACGAATCTCACAAATTTGCAGATAGATGGTAACAAAATCTCTGGCCAAATCCTGCCAGAGCTCGGGAAATTGTCTCAGTTGCGTGTCTTGTCTTTGGACCGCAATGAACTGACCGGGAGAATTCCTGATGAGATGAGAAATCTAGGGGAGTTGATCGAGCTGAACTTGAGCAACAACCATTTGGCTGGAGATATTCCCGTCTCATTAGGAAACTTATCGAAGCTCAATCTTCTTGATTTGTCGAACAACACATTGAGCGGTACCATACCGAACGAGCTAGCGAATTGCGAGAATTTACTTAGCTTGAAATTGAGCAACAACAATCTGTCTGGTAACTTACCGTCCGAGCTCGGGAAGTTGTCCGCGCTCCAGTTACTTCTAGACCTGAGCCACAATTCACTAGCAGGATCAATTCCTTCCAATTTGGAAAAGCTTACTATATTGGAAAATCTCAATCTTTCCCATAACGATTTGTCCGGTACGATACCGGCTTCACTCTCCACCATGGTGAGTTTAAGCTCCATGGACTTATCGTACAACGAGCTAACAGGTGCGGTTCCTAGTGGTGGCATCTTCCAACGGGCGCCCGAAAGTGCTTTTGTTGGGAATTTGGGCTTGTGTGGAGACGCAACGGGATTATCTCCTTGCAGAACGAGCAGTAAATCAACCAACCACGGCAAAAAAGTTCTGATTGGTGTGAGTGTTGGCGTCGGCTGCTTACTACTTCTAGCGATTCCAATTGCCGTGATTCTAGGGCTTCGGCCGCGAAACAAGCTTCTTGACAAAGTGATCGAGAGTGTTAAAAAGCACGAGAATTCAGAACCGATCATATGGCAAAGGCGAGGGAACTTCACGTTCAGCGACATCGCCACGGCCACCAACGACTTCAGCGAAGAGTACTGCATTGGAAAAGGCGGGTTCGGGAGCGTTTACAAGGCCGAACTTGCCAGCGGCCAAATTTTTGCTGTCAAAAAGCTCAACGTATTGGATTCCTGCGATGTTCCCGCAGTCAACCGCCAGAGTTTCGAGAACGAGATCCGTGTGTTGACCGAGGTCCGGCACCGCAATGTGATCAAGCTCTACGGGTCCTGTTCCAAAACGGGTTGCATATATTTGATCTATGAGTTCGTTGAAAGGGGCAGTTTGGCAAAGGTCTTGTACGGAGGAAGAGGAGCAGCTGAACTGGACTGGGATACAAGGGTGAAGATTGTTCAAGGCGTGGCTCACGCGATCTCCTACTTGCATCACGATTGCTCGCCACCTATCGTCCATCGGGACATAACGTTGAACAACATCTTGGTCGAGTCAGACTTCGAGCCTCGGCTCTCGGATTTCGGGACGGCGAGACTCTTGGATTCAGACTCGTCAAATTGGACCGCAGTGGCTGGATCTTATGGCTACATGGCTCCTGGTAAGCTACGGCATCAAATCTAACCATGCATTTCTCATGTACGTATGATCCCGGATTGATCAAATAGCTCTATTTAACATCTTGAATTTGGTTTCATCGACTAATTCTAACAAGAATTTCGGAATAGCAAGTATGGATTTTGAAAAGTGGTTTGGGTCAGCGCATCATAGAAATTTGGAATTTGTGTACAACTTTACATTATGATCAAAACATCGAATCATTCTTCTTTCCTGGAATAACAGAGTTAGCAGTTACGATGCGGGTGACGGACAAATGCGATGTGTATAGCTTCGGAGTAGTGACGCTAGAGATTATGATGGGGAAGCATCCGGGGGATCTTCTCTCTTCCCTATCAACGACGCAAACGTCGACATCAATGGAGAACCCAAATTTGCTACTAAAGGATGTGCTCGACCCACATCTTCCTCCTCCGACCGGCCAACTAGCCAGGACAGTGGTATTCATAGTCACAGTGGCACTGGCGTGCACGAGGATGAGTCCCAATTCGCGACCCACCATGCATTTCGTCGCGCAAGAATTATCCGCACGCACTCAAGCTTACTTGCCCGAGCCATTAGGCCCAATCACCATCAACAGAGCTATAGAGTCTTCAGAAATAATCTTTAAGTAGATAGTGCAGATCAAATGATATTTCGTTGTATTTTTTTTATTATAATTTAGCTCATAATGAATGAGAAAGAGGGGGCGCATGTGTGGACCAGCGTACGTACAAAAAGGACAATTTGGAAAGGGTTAATATCATGAAAAATCTCAAACTTAATTATTTGTGATAAATTTACCCCAAACTAATTTTTTTACCATCAAAAATTTCAAACTGATACACCTATGACAAGTTTTCCTTAAACTAATTATTTGACCACTAAAAACTCCAAATTGATACATTTGTAACAAATATACCCTCCATTAAATTGGATTAATACCACGAAATATCACAAACTGGTACACCTATGACAAATGGAGGACATCCGTCAACTGCCACGGGTCATTCAACTAAAAAATCTAACAGTAAAATTTAATGAAAACTAGAATAGGGTAAAATTGTCACATGTGTACTAGTTTGAAGTTTTTTGTTGTTAAAATATTAGTTTTGGGTAAATTTGTTACAAGTGTACCAATTTGGAGCTTTTCGTAGTATTAACCCTATGATTATATTGCATTACAAGTCTAGCTTTACATGCATTACGAGGATCTACCTATATTTAATATGAAACAATTCCTAATTAAGGCAAATTACAATGAAAAACTAGATGCGCAGTTTCCATGCCATATTTGAGATGTGAATAACTTAATCACTTATTTTTACTTCGTTTACTGAAGTGTATTTCCTTTAGATTATGTTGAACAATAACATTTTTGTCCTGATTGATTTAGACTTATCAATCATGATTTGCCATGTGGCTCCTGATGCTCTTCTACGTAAGACAGCCAGCGTCCACGTCAGCGAATTCGAACCAAAAGTGGTCGGATAGACTCAATTGGTAAAATGTAAAAAGGTTTAGAACTCAATTGGCACAATTACAAGGTTTAAGACTGAATTGATGTAAATGCAATAGATTAGGATCTTTTTGAGTAATTTTTCCTTATTATCGGGCATGAAATTTTGGACCACAACCTATTCGGACTTTTGTCTCATACAAATCCCATCTCGTAAAAATGATTGTTTGCATTATTCAGAAAATTTAGTCCGCGAAAAATACTTTCATTATCAATAATAATCTATGCTTAAATATTTTTGCTCACGATGAACATAGATTGTGCTCATACATTTTTATGAATAACACAAACGATCACTTTTAAAAAAATATTTCATAAATCATATTCATTCTTCAAGAAACAAACACTAAATCAAATATTGTTGGTGTTTGTTACTTATGACCACGCGTAGAGATGGTTCAACAACGTTGGTGGTGCTTTGCCCACCACTTTTAAGGTGGGCATTGCAATAATCTTATTTTATAATACCATGAAAAACCCTAAACTGGTACAGTTGTGATAATTTTACCCCAAACTATTTTTTTTACCACGAAAAACCCCAAACTGGTACACTTGTGACAAATTTACCCCGAACTATTTTTTTTACCACCAAAAACCCCGAACTGGTATACTTGTGACAATTTTACCCCAACTAATTTTTTAATATTATTTTTTATTTTTTTCGAATTTTTTTATTAATTTTTTTTCTTTTCTTTTTTTTTCCTTAATATTCTTCATCTTCAACCTTTGGCCGGTCGCCGGACCGGCGATCGGCCAGAGGCGGAAGCCGATGAGGTCGGCCCTGCCGGCAGCTGGCGAGGCTCGACCTTGCCGGCCGGTGGCGAGGGCTCGCCGGCGGGGCCGAGCCCTCGCCAAATCTGGCGAGGCTCGACCTCGCCGCGGCTCGGACGAGGCCGACCTCGCCGGATCTGGCGAGGGCTCGGCCCCGCCGGCCGCCGGCAAGGTCGGCCTCGCCCAACGCCGGCGAGGTCGAGCCTCGCCCGGCGGCGCGTGCCCTCGCCACCGGCCGGCAAGGTCGAGCCTCGCCAGCTGCCGGCAGGGCCGACCTCGCCGGCTTCCGCCTCTGGCCGGTCGCCGGTCCGGCGACCGGCCAAAGGTTGAAGATGAAGAATATTAAGGAAAAAAAATTAATAGAAAAAAATTCGAAAAAAATAAAAATAATATTAAAAAATTAGTTGGGATAAAATTATCACAAGTATATCAGTTCAGGGTTTTTGATGGTCAAAAAAATAGTTTGGGGAAAATTTGTCACAAGTGTACCAGTTTGGGGTTTTTTGTAGTCAAAAAAATAGTTTGGGGTAAAATTGTCACAACTGTACCAGTTTAGGGTTTTTCGTGGTATTAACCCTTTATTCAATCGCGATTAATTGTACCAATTAATTTCCTCCTTTTCTACTGTATTTTATTCCCACGTGATAAATGGCACAAATTAATTTCGTCCTTTTCATTCAAATCTGTTTGTTGATGGTTGAATCGATTAATAGATGATTATCAGCCAAATGAAGTATTACTAAACTTTCTTTTGGTCCACTCCTCGTAGTATAAATAAACTTTCGAAATTTTCCATCACGTCAGTTGTAGTTTCGAAGCGGTTTCAATTGCATCCCTTGTCGAATAACCATCGGAAAAAAGTGCTCCACCTCAAATCTTCTTGGGATTCGAAAAGCGACATCGATAATTTTTACTAATCGTCAACTAGTATCAACTATCACTGCATGATTCCGATTGACTTGGAGCCTTAATCAAACTCAGTTCCTTTTGCATTGCTGCTGTACAAGCACAACACTCGAAAATAATCTCACGCAGCTATTACAATATATCTTCTCTTTCACTCTTAAGCCTTATCTATAGGCTTGAGTTTCACCGCCTTTTGAAGTCGGTGGTGTCCATTTACTTGTCACTTGAAGAACAACTTCGAATTGTCCTCCTTTGCTGCCGACTTCATGCCAAGGAAGTTGCCGTAGCTTTTTCAAACCTTCAGTTCGGACATTTCTTTCTCTAAGTCTTCAGGGTTGGAGTCGGTTCAGGAAGCAAAGTGCAATTACGCCATTTCTTTTGTTTTCTCGTATCAAGCGTCAACCCCAATATGTTGACGGTTAACTTACTTTTTTGTTTAAAAATGTTGAATACATATAACCGATGCAGTCATTTTTTCAAAAAGGAATTACACGTGGGTGGTTATGCGGGCGAAATGACATGAAGGAAGCCACGTAGAATGTCCATCCAATGTTTTCGGAAAATGATTAAAAGTCGAACTTTGTGTGGGAGTGTGAGACAACCCGTGGTGCTATAAAACAGTATCATCCGGCTCGTTTCTCATGAGGTCCAATACCATCTTGTTAGGCATGGCAGAATCGACTGTAGCCCACCCTCTCTTCCTCTGTCTTCTCTTCTTGCTGCCATTTCGGGCCTCGGCGTCCCTGATCAAGGAGGCACAAGCTCTTGTCAAATGGAAGAACTCTCTCTCTTCTCCTCCTCCTCCACCTTCTTTGAGTTCATGGTCTCTCGCCAACGTCGCCCCTCTCTGCAACTGGACTGGCGTTGCCTGCAACAAGGGCGGGTCAGTCTCGGAGATCAGCCTCTCGGACTCAAGCCTCAGTAGCACACTCGATGCACTCGACTTCACTTCGCTCCCGAACCCGGCCCGCTTCGACGCCAGCAACAACAATCTCAGGGGCTCGATACCATCATCGATCGGCAATCTCTCCAAGCTCACGTTCCTGGACCTGGGGTTCAATCTCTTCGGAGGTGGCATGCCGCCTGAGATGGGCCGATTGCGAGAGATTCAGTACTTGAGCCTCTTGAAAAACAATCTTGAGGATACTGTTCCTTACCATATCAGCAATCTCACGAATGTTTGGCACTTGGATCTTCAATCAAACTACTTGAAATCTCCTGACTGGTCGAAATTCTCCGTTATGCCATCGATGACTTACCTGAGCCTCTCTGAGAATGAGCTCTGTCACGCCCCGAACCCACAAGCGCACTAACATCCCGCCAAAGGTCATGAAATGGCAACGTCCCAGGACGCATCACCGACCCAATCAAATCCTTAACAATTAAACGCATGCGGAAGCGAACTTAATTCACCCAACAACAATCAATAAACGGGATAGTAAGGAAAACACACTTCAATTTAAACAACATCATCAGCAATACATCGGGTTAATATATTACAAGTCTGCCACGCGGACCTTCCAGATTACAACCACAAAGGTAGGGGGTTAACCTATCTCCTCTACCTACGAGGTGACCTCAAAAGAAGTTTGACCCCTCGAACGGGTACCTTGTCACCTCCTGGTCCCAGTCAACAGGGACCCCAAAATCGCACGTGGCGATTTTTCATCACTTAGGGCCTGAAAATGGTTAAACAACAACAATGAGATAAATCTCAGCGAGTTAACAACCTAAGCTCGATTAGGAGGTCAACTCATCTCGGATACACCTAAAACATGCAACTCAGCCCAACGTACACAAGATGCCGTCACACAATCGTAGGTAACCTTACCTTGCCTTGGCACACACCCTGCACGTTATAACATCATATACAATCATAATGCAACACGCATATAATGTAATCAGAATACGCAACAACTTTTCCATGCACAATGCATCAACATGTGTCCCAATTATAAAGTGAAACCGCTTCGGCCCGTCCCATACCGTGCCTCACAATTTCATCCTATAATCAAGCGCAATGCCGCCACAATCTTTCATGCGTATTTCGATTACTACAGCCACACCTGGAGCATGGCACAACCCGCGATATTCGCATCAAGTTCGCGGTTTTCCTGTATAACCGGGCATCGTCCCGCCCCATCGGGCACGGCATCGTCTCACCCGACCACAATAACGGCATATCCCATAAATGGGTTCATTCCGAATCCGATTCGCGAATAACTACGTCTCCCCTGCTACCAGCAACGACTTCCAATTACCAAATTGGGGACACCCGTTAGGGCCACGGCCAAATCCTAGATTGGCGGTCATCCGGTATACGATTTTCCGATATAATCGGGCACGAAAGGAACCTTTAGGTTATCATGCACACATAGCAACACTCAGGTTCCATCATTATATTTATCAATAGCCAATGCAAACATGATCCGTGCTAATACGTTGAAATATTGCAACTTCCACACATAAAAATGTACTAAAATATTCACACGTGATTATGCACATATCAATAAATTCTCAAACTTGGCA